AAACAAAAATTCACTCAGACAAATGGTAAATGGACCTGCACTTGTATATCACATTTCTAGTCATCCGACCACTCAAAGCGCTTTTTACACTACAAGTCACAGTCACCCACTGGGGGCCAAAGCTACCATACAAGGTGCCACTTACTACTCAGTTTTTAACACACTCACACACCGATGGAACAGCCATCGGGAGCAAATTGGGGTTCAGCATTGATACTTTGGCGTGCAGACTGGAGGAGCTGGGGATCAAACCGCTGATCTTCCAATTAGTGGACAGTGTGCTTTACCTCTGAGCCACAGTCATCTTTGGCATAGTAGGAGAGTTAAATAAGAATCTTTCAGGATCTAAACTCAAAGTATCAAAAGGGAATTGATGCAATATCTCAGACTTGAGAAACAAAGATTCACATTAAATGACTCTTCTGATAAATTTATGAGAATCTGGAATCCATTTTTGGAGTATATAAAAGCTTGACTCTAAACCCCTGCTGTATTAATAAACCCATGTGAAGTAAGTCACATTCATGTTTTTATATTTTATTTTCCTACGTCTTGTAGCCGATCACAGTAGGATAGGTCCAGATTAGGCCTTTATCTTCTGTAACTGCCTGCTCCTTTAAAGGTTCTGTGTGTATGTAGGTATCTGTACATGTGTGTACTTGTGCATTAGTGTACTTTTTTCTTTTGTAATGCTGCATAGCAGTTTATATGTTGTTAGAAAAGGGATAAAAATATGTTAAAAGAAAATTCTAAATTGCAGTCAATATAAAAGTTGACAAATAATCGATTAATCTTTGCAGCTGCAGTTATTAATGTGATTTAAGTATGTTATTCTTAAAAGTAGTAACAATTTGGTCCTAAAACGATTTAGTATTGGTAGAATATAGCAGTAAATTCCAGTCAGGTGTTTTTGTCTGTCTCTGTCCCTCTTGATTTAACGGATGTCTCTCTGCCTTCAGGTGATTTAGAGGGGAAAGTCAAATGGCTGGATAACTACCAGAAGGTGAAACAGTTAAGAGATGCCCTGGTGTGGCTGCCTGTGTGGGAGCGAGACAAGCGCACCTTCGTCCCTGAGGTCTGTGATGCTGTGTGTTTGTGTGTGTGTATTAATATTTGTGCCTGTTGACAGAGCAAGGCATAGAAGTCACAGATATGCACCAACACTTCATCCTCAAATAGCTTTTGTGTGCAGATAAGATGATCCAGTCATTTATCTGAATGTGACATCAGATATCATGAAGAGCAAACTATTTACATTGTACAACGCCCCGTGTCATTTGCTCTTACTTCAGCGTCAGCAGCTCAGCTCTTTGGATATCAGTTGACGTGTCGAGGTGAAAATGTTTCCTTCTTACCTGACTGGCTGCTTCTTTTTCAGAGTTTGAAGCATTTGTTGAAGGCTGTCACTCTGGAGAATCTAATTACTCACAGAAGCCTGCTGCACGAAGGGAAAATGGTGCTCACAGGTGTGCACGCACAGCTGGCACAGATCCAACACATTTTACACGCTCTGCGCTTTGATTTGACAAAAATCTCACACCATCTGTGTTTGGTTGATCACCAGAGAACACAAAGCTCATCGATGTTTATCTGTTCCTGTTTGACGAATTCCTGCTGATCACAAAGATAAAGAGAAACAAGAAGGTACGTCGCTGCGTCGGCCTGTTTTCACTCACTCAGTGTTCGGCTGTACAGAAGCTTCGTAACTTGTTCACACTGTGTCGTCTTGTGTAGCGCTCCATCGGTCCCGAGCAGAATCCCCTCAGGATGCCACAGAACCTGGAGCTGGATCAGCTCCTGAAAGAGGGATGCACCTTCACAGTTCTGGACCAGCCCGTCTCTCTGGACCGACTCCAGCTCAAGAACATCGATCAGCTCAATGCCTCAAGTAATGACAGTATTCTTTCTTGTTGATTTCATCATGTTCTGAGCACTAACAACATTGTTGAGAGCACACAGCAGAGCCAAAGAGTCATGCTGGGTCTTGATAAAAAAAATAAATTCTGTGCTTCATTTGCAGCATCAGGGCTGCCTCACTCTTTCATAATCATGCACCAGAACCGCTACCAGCAGTGTATCGGTGCGTTCATCCTGCAAGCTGCATCAGAGTCAGCCAAGGTACATCACCTAAGCTGTGGATTTCTCATAAGTTTCAAAAGGCGTGCAGAGTTATAAGAGCTGGCAGAGCGCCGATTACATTCTGTTCATGAAAATATTGTGCAACAACACATATGGATTCAGTTATTTCTGAACATCTTTGTTTTTTATGTAGCATCAACAAAAGATCTAAGTGTTAACAGTCACAGAGAAGCACAAAAATATATTTTTTTAAAGGCAGTTTTGTGCCAGGATTCAAATAAACCCACTCATCACTTGCACAGTCATTTAGATTTATCTCATATGCTCGTAGATACATGTATGCTTCTGTTTTTAAGCTCTCAAGAATTAGCGATTACTCATATCTTACTAACTGCTGGATATTAAACCTGATATTTCTCTTTCTGAACACTTCCATGTTTGACTTCCTGCAGAGGGTGTGGATGTCAAAGATAGAGGGCGCTGTGACGGCGCTGCTGAAGCTGGACTCTCAGCAGCCACGAGTCAAGAGCTCCTCACTGTGGCTGGAGTCCTCACAGATATGACCCGTCAAACAGCACTAGAAGCCATCTGAAATGTCTCTGCTGTCAACGTGCACTTCACTGTCTCCTGACGTCCTGTAAATGACTGCGCTAGAACTAGGATCATTTTGTAAACTTCATGTTTGCCTTTAAAGGCAGCTGCTGCAGTAGTGTACAATAAATATCGGATTATAGTAAAAGATGTTCTTGAGAGGTTGTCCTTTGATATCTGAACTGTAAAAAACATGAACCAGCAGCACTGTATGTACAATTCAGTGACAACTGGGTAAACTCCATCTGCTCATGTAATACTGCTCAAGGTGGGCTACTAAATAGACCTTGAGATGAGACCTTTTCTAAGTTGCCCGATATTTATACAGAAGTGTGCCCTGGCTTACTGTGTTTAAATAGTTTTTGGACAAAAATGGAGGCCTAACTTACAGCACATGGGATGCACTTTATCACCCTGTGGATACACACAACACAGTTGACAGATGGATCAGGTCCTTGCTGCTTTTTGGTCTTGTCATGTCATTTGTTGACTGAAAGAAAGTGACAGATTACTATTAGCCGTCCACCACTGGTGGTGTTTTACCATCTATAAATAGCTTGTGTGTGTGTGCCCTTCAACCACTTACAGCCATACCACCCTGAATACACCCAATGTCACCGGATCTCAGAAGCTAATCAGGGTCGGGCCTCGTCACACTTCCAGTCAACTGGAACTCATTGGAGTGGGCGGATTCCAAGACAAGTGTCCAAGGTCAAGAATGAACTTCAAATTAAAGATTGTGCTTGATGAACAAACATAATTAAAACTTTTTTTTTTTTTTTTTTTTACTCCAAAGAGATACAGATTAAATTATAAAATACAAATTTATTTTTAGAAGCATTAGGCAGTTCTTAAAGTGGAAACAGACACTTTTTTTTTTTTTGCTTTAACTTGCGCCTCTGGTTCCAAAGAAGTTGGGATGCTGTGTAAAACGTTAATAAAACCAATACAAAATACAATTAACTGAAACTTAACTGAAATTAACTGAAAAAGGTCAGGACGGGGACATGTCTACTGCTGTGTTACCACCTTTTCTTTTATAACAGCACTCACTAAGTGTTTGGGAACTAAGGACACTAATAATTTAAGATTTCAAAGTAAACATTTTTTTCTCAAGATTCAAAGTGGGCGCCCCAAAAATCTTTTAGATTTAAAGACTGTCTGTGTAGAAGAATGGGCCACAATCCCATCTGAACAGTGTTACACATAAGTTCCTTCATATAAGGAAACATCTTGAATCTGCCATTGCAAACAAAGGCTTCTCTTAGCATTCAATATGATTCAGTTAGCATGTTCCAATACTTTTTACTTGTGTCATTCCACTTGATTGCACACAAGTTTTGTGGATTGAAATGTTACGATTTCTTTATCAGTGATGTTTTATGGAATTGAAAGCATCTGCATGGAAATATGTGTCAATGAAAAAACTTCTGACGTGTTGAGGACTTATTTTCCCCCACTGTATGTTGAATCATTGCATGGTTTTATTTATATTTTACACAGCATCCCAACTTTTTGGGAACCAGGGTTGTATCATTAAGAAGTAAATGCAATGGCTATAGGTTAATGACACCATCTGTGCTTTGATTGGTTCCTTATAAGCCTTACATTCATTATGCAATTCTGTCTGCTACTGGGTGCAACCCTCTGGGAAAATGAAGGCTCAATTTACAGCTTGCAGGAAGTGCACCAACCATTGTGAAACCCAAACAGGAGGAGGGTAGTGCTTTTGTTTTCTGGTGAGGCACAGGTAGCTATTCTCACTTACTGAAGAGTATCAGTGTAAGGTCTTTGCAGTTTCTATCCCCAGTAGCAGAAATGGCGGAAACACTTTATATTAAGGTACTGGAATAATTGTTAATTAATACTTAATAAGCACAAATTAACAGTTAATGGGCACTTATAAGATGGTTTAAGATGCTTATTAACATTAATAAGACTATACAAGTGTTTATTACAGCATAACTGACAGTTATTTTGCATGTAGGAGCATTATAAGCACTTAAAATAAACTTTGGTAAAAGTTTATAAACCTATACCAAATATTAATAAGTCTACTTACATTGATTATAATTTATAAGGGTTAATTATAGAATAATAACCACATTTATTATTGGTTTATAAGACACTATACGACCCTATCAGATGAAATTAATAAGGTGTTTATTAACATTAATAAGATCTAATGAGTGTTAATAATAGTATACATTATTGGCTGACGATGGAACAACCAAAGTAACTGTGGGAACTGTGGTAGTTGCTCGGCTCTCGGAAACGGCTGTACGAGTCATTAGTCTTGTCTGTGAACAAAAACATTACACACAAGAAAATAGAAACATACTGTAGGTTTTATTTAGGTTTGTCATGATGATGCATTAGAAAATCAACAGGTGCATGTGAACATAAATTACATTGTTTCTCTCGTCCCTTCGGGTGAACTGAGTTCACCCAGACTGGTAATACATGGTGCGTGTCCCTGCTGACAGTGAGCAGTGACGTACAAGACGTTGGCCTAAGGCACACCTTCACAACCATCAAATATGATGACTCTAAACATGGAGAAAAACGTGTGAACCACAGGCCAGTAAAGTCATCATGCATGATAACTGACAGCAACACGAAGCAAGCCACAATTCAGTGTGTACAGACCTGTGGTGCCTTTTTTTGTCTTTAAAAAAACAAAACAAAACAAACAAACAAACAAACAAACAAAAAAAAAAAAAAAAAACGAGTAAGACACTGATGAGTCCACACACAATTTCACTGTTGTTGTGTTTCTACATCCACAAGTGTTATATATTTCCTTTGTCTCTTTCATTACAAACATTTACAAAGATAATTATGACAGCCTTAGTAATAATGAGCAGTTAAGCACATCGGGGCTAGAAATGCTGAAGCTTGTATAAAGTTGGTGGTCCTACATTTGTGGCTGGGTTCTTACACGGACGAGCCCAGAATACAATAAGGTGCAAATCATCTCTCTGGTTTTTTAAGGGACTGTACAGCTTGATAGATAAATCACAAATCCTCGATCAAATGCAGGCAATGACAAAATATTTGTGATCTCTAAGGTTAAGAAATAGTGCTTTTCCTGTGCCAATCTGAGGTAGACATAACAAAACCAATGCAACACAAAAAGAGACAGGTGTTCTTGAGAGCTTGCGACTGAGATGGACGTTGTTTTTTGAGTGCACGAGCATTAAGAGCTAATTTGGTAAGCCAAAGTCTGAAACAAGCTGCTTGTTGCAAAGTGCCAAAACTGCCTGCATTGTCACCTGGCATACAGTGTTTCCGCCTGCTCCAGTCTTTAGACAATTGCACAGAAGATCTTACCGATATCTGTCAACACATGATAAATTATACAAAGCAGGAATGAACTTTTACAGTGTCCTCAGCTGCACACAGGTTGGATAGAGAACCGACAGCAACCGCGGCACCTGAAAGCAGCACCGGCACACACCTTGCCGGAGAGATACTGAGGTTCTGAGCAGCCAACGTTCATACGGTGCAACTTGGCAGACACACACAGCAGGCCTAAACACTAAAACACAGACTCTGTTACAGCAACATCACACACAGCCACAGTTATTGCTTCAAAGCAGAGCACACGCGCACGCACACACATCTCCAGCAGTAGTCAGTGCTGCTGAGCGCAGACAAGCAGCAGGAAAATAAAACTTAAAAAATAAACATGCAGGCACCTTCGATGACTGCATTAACAGTCTGCGGAAAGCACCACAATTTGCAAAAATAATATGAACACGCAAAGAGAAACGTGGCACAGCAAGACTGAATGTACATAAAAGCCTCTAAGGTCGTCATACATGCTGTGTTCAAGATAAAAATGTAGGACCCTGTGATTTAAAACTCAAACGCTTCCAAAGAGACGCTTAGAAAAATACTGAAATATGAAACAAGCTCAGGGTTTTCATCTCGGCTGTATTCCTGCTGCAGACATTCTTTGGTCATGGATTAGGCTGAATACATCAAATTCAACAAATACACAAACGTGCTGCCGCACAAAGGAAACATGCAGTAACTGACTGGGCGTCACGGCCTGTACAGAGAATCGCTGGTGCATAAATCGACTGATGGATTGGTTTCTTTAGGGCAGTCTTTCTTCTTACATTTGAAGATTTGCTGTGCTGTACCACACAACACAACGCTAACAGAAGGATCTGATGCTCTTAACTTATGTGAATTTAGAAAAAAATAATGCATGTACTTGAATTTAAAATCTCTACCTTACACTTTTATGAAATCCTGTCCACAAAACGTCACATCAAAACTTCAGCTAAGTGTTAGTTGCATTGTTTTGGGGCCAAATGAATCTGTCAAAGCACAAATAATAATTTCCTGAAAACAAATTTGAAATGTGTCTCTGGAAAACAAAAAACGACCTCAACACACTTTTCTATTCACGTCATTACACACATCAGACAGTAAAACGAAACCAATATCCAAAAATATTCTTGATGACTTGAGTCCTTCCTATAAAAATCTGTTCTTTTCTTAGTAAGTGATCAGATTGGTTCAGTTATACACAGAAAATATGTCACACTGGGTATTTACAAGTTTTCTTTTCTTCACAAAAGTTACCTGCATTAACCTTTGTAGGGCAGCAGTGATTTTCAACATCACCATTACAACATTAACATCCCCCACTCACACTGACCTTACACCTCCACACAGCTGATGCCAAACATCTTACGACACACACAGCAAACCACCTTGCACGTGCTAGTGATGCCAAACAACGATGGAGATGTGAACATAAACGTAAAGAGATGGATGGTGTTTAGTTCTCGCTGTCTCCGCTCTCTGGCAGTCCACAGGAGTAGCAAAGGCACAAAAACAGATACAGACAATCCCAACCAGTCCCACCCCCGATCCCATAGCGCTGCTCTGGCGTCTCCTCATTAAAACACTTCAGCTGTTTCCCTCCACGCCAGAGCCAGGAGTCACATGCAGGTGGGAGTCTTTGCACTGGGTCTGTCCTTAATAGTGCACATTAAATATGACAAAGACACATCTTCTTCTGCCCGCTGAAGGAGGAAGTGGAGGGGAAGGGGGGAAGCGGGGTGAGGGGGTTTAGGGGAGGTGAAGGGATGAGGGGGAAAATCAGCCTTGGAGCTCCTCAAAGCATGTCTCACACACCCGTACTGGCTTTTTAGAGGACGGTGTGAGGGCGTTCCTTGATGAACACTCTGCACAGAAGATGTTGCCGCAATGTCTGCAATGGTGCTGGATATTCACAGAGAAGGAGAGAGAGAGATGTTATGAAGACGCCAATTAAATGTGTGTCCTGTTTCCTGTAAGCATCAATCCCTAATGCCAAGGCCACACTGCCCACCTCCATCTGTGCATGAAAGCTACCTCACTCAACTGCAACAGCTTGCACGTGTGGTGTTCACACAGACGGCGTTGCTGCTGAGGCTGTGCTCCCTGCCAGCCCTGTCTCTACACTGACTTTTGAAAATGGCCATCAAAATTTAACAATAAAAGCCTTGTTTTAACTAATGACAGGATTCTGTCTACAGAAATGCTGCAGGGCTTTCAATGTGAAACTGAAACAAGAAGAGTTGAGTTAAAAACAAATATTTGTATACATTTTTTTTATGTCTTGAGATTTTCTACAGATAACAGACACTGAAACTGTAGCGAAAGTGCTATGATTATGTAAATATTACTATATAATAATAATCAATATTTTCACTGTCTGTCTTTGCTGTGAACCATGTGCATCCCACTAAAAAAATAGGCTAAACTCCACGAGTTGCAGCTGCGCTGCACTGCTCACACAGGCAGTGTGGCTGCTCAAATTTGCTATCATGGATGCCTACATAAAAAGAAAGCGTTTCCTTGACAGAAGACAACTTAATTCTTACCTTCCTGACAGTGACACTAAAGCCTTTCCCACAGGCCATGCAGTTCTGCACCTCATGATCCTCGGCCCACTTCCTGGTCAGACTCTGGGACTGCTTGATCTAAAAGCACCGATGCCAGGAGTCACAACCAAAACCATCTAAGATAAATTGTTGACAATTGTTGTCTTTAATTCCGACAAGACATCCGGTATTTATGACCGACCTGGAGCGACTGGTTCTCTCTGCCGAGCTCCTGCATGGCTGCCGTCGTGTCATCCAGCTTCCTCCTCAGCTCCACCACCTTGGCCTGCAGTTTCTCTATCTCGCCTTCACCCTTCACACACCTGAAACACAACCACACAGAGCACTGATTATTTGTGTGTACATTATAAATTAGTGGCTCAGGAGAATTTTCCCCCACCATGACTCTGGGCAGATGACAGCATCTATAAATGTGTTGTAGAAATGATAAGTAATTGTGCTATTTTTATCCCAAAGGATGCCTTTCTGCTTGGTCATTCTAATTTCCCTTTTTTCCCTGTGTGAGTGTGTCACTGTGGCACATGCAGCAGCTTATAATAAGCCTGATATATAATGAATTTCACAAGATAATTTTAATCTTCATTTGCCATGCACAAGGAAATGAAGTTATTAAAAAATGAGTGAAGTCAAAGTTGTAGGAGAGATGTGGGCAAAACTTCCCAGAAGAAATGTTCAGTAGCGCAGGGTGACTGATTAAGACATGACAGGTTATAATTTAGTCGGCCTTATAATGAAGAAGATTTCAATCAGTGTACAAACCATAATTAATTTCACATAGCCTAACTTTAGGACTGAAGGAAAGTGCTTGTTTTGAAGCGATGTGTTAGGTAGATTAGAGAGTCTCATTCTTAAAAAAGCTCAACGTAGAAAACCCTGGTGACCTCCTGTGAATCCTGCGGTTAATGTGCCGCCTGAAGAAGCATCTGTGCATCAAGTCTGACTATAAATTACCAACTCATCTTTTTCACTTCACCTTTAAGCAGCTAACTCAAGTCACCACCTCTGAATACAGCCACAAGAGCTATTTAAAGCCACTTCTCACTCTCGCTACTTTAACTTTACATAATTCAGTGAACTTAAAGGCCAATCAATAACATGCAAAACGCTTTTAATGTTTTTATGTAATTGTATAAAACAAAGAAACATTACTTGCAGGGTGGGACACAATATCAGCTCACCTCTCCAGAAGAGCCCGTCTCTCATCCTGGTTGTTCTGGACGGTGGCCTCCAGCACAGCGATCTCTCCTCTCAGCTCATCCGTCTGCTTCTCCAGTTCGCCGACTCTTCGTTGGCTGCCCTGCCACTCTCTCTTCAGCGTGGCCACGTTTTCATTCAGAGCCGTCACCTGCACACCCATCTTAGCTTCTGCCTCCTCCCCGCGCTTCACCTGCTCTTCTCTTGCTTTCTTCTCTGCCACCTTTGGGAGGAAGCATTGATCATGTCACCAAAAAGGATCGAAAGGGCGAGTGAAAGATATTTAATGCACTCAATCATTTGGTGGGATTTGGCTAGTGAGCATACCAACTGATCCTGGATATCCCTGGTATGTGCAAGGAGCTGCTCCTCTCTCTGAGTCCTGCTGTCCTTGGTGGCCTCGTGCTCCTTCTGCTCCTGCTCCAGGGTCTTCTGTGCAGCCTCCACCTGACCCTGCAGCTCCAGTTTCTGCTGGATCAACAGCTGTTTGGCTTCCCGCAACTCACCCAGCTCCTGAAAACCAACACATACCGTATGTAGCTCAATGCACAATATTTGGTTGTCAAAGGCACTTAAAGTGTCTCTAATAAAACAAGCAGTGGCTCATTTCACCCTAAACTTTAAAAGGCTTGAGCAGGTTTGAGCTTAGGAAGTTATTGCTCTGACATCAGCTTTGGATCAATCTTAAGATGGCTTTGAAGAGCTGAAACATCCAATGTTCACTTCAAATTGTCGCCTTAAGCACACACAGTTTTAACTTTGAAGAATGTGGCTCTAATGAAGTGAAGTATTCCTGAGTTAAGCTGTTTATATAAGACACAAGCATGGGAAGGAGGTCATGAAAGCCAGTCAGCCAGCCAATATTCCCATCAAAATAAAGACAGTGACTACGTCTACATGCACAAAGTATCCCGGTTCTGCCTAAATCAGAAAATCCAAACATATTTCGAATAACAGTGGAAATATTAGCGTGGATGTGAATGTGAATGACCTTCTCGCCCTTCTCCGTCAGTGCTTTTAATTCAGAATTCAGTCGGGTGTTATTCTTTTCCAGGACACTCTTAGCTTTGTTCAGTTCCTCCACTTTACTCTTCTCCTTCTCCAGCTCCTCTTTTATGTGACCCTGGGTGAGTAAACACAATTTACAACATATAAACTTAATCACATCATGTCATTTAAATGTTCATGTCTATGTGGGTTGATCTGTTTGTCTGACCTGTTGTTTCTGTAGTTCCTTCAGGATTTTGTCTTGCTGTTGGAGCTTCTGGTCCCGTTTTGCCAGCTCCTGCTCCAACGAGCCACGACCCTTCTGCAGATCCTGGATCTGAGCCTCTAAACCTGTCTGATGGGTGCGGTTAGCAGCCAGCTCTTCCTGAGCTAAGGTCAGCTTCTCCTCTGACACCTACAGACAGAAATTTCAGTCTGAAATTTAGACCTGAATCACCAGCTTTGAATCAAATCTGTGAATTAGTTAAAAGTGATGCAGCATCACAGCTTCTAAATTAACATTTAATATAACCTCCTTGAACTGAACCATTATCACTCTCTACTCCTCCACCCCTTCCTGCATAAACCTACCTTCAGGTCTTGACGCAGGGCAGAGACCTCGGACTCTTTGCCGTAGAAGTCAGACTGAAGCTTAGTGAAGCTTTCCTGGCTTTGCTCCAAGGTCTTCTGCAGCTCTGTCATCCCACTCTTCTGAGAGGCCAGCTCCTGGCCAAGCCCCAACACCTGTGCCTTCAGCTTACTCTCCTCTTCCGTCTGGAGGTGAAAGTCAAATACACACATTCATAAACATTTGCATATAAACTATAAGGAGCACATAAATGACTTTAACACAACCCTGTGGAAAATAAAGTTAATATCGAAATACAGTTATTTGGTTAATTATGATGACAGTTTAAAGTATGCATGTAAGTGTATTTAAAAACGCTACTTGCCTTCTTGACATTAACTTCTTGTAACTCTGCCACTTGCCCCTTCAGTTTCTTCGTCTCCTCCTCAAACGACCCCTGGGCCGTCTTGAGTTGTGCCCGCAGCTTCTCCAGCTCCTTCTCTTTTTCCTTCAGTGCCCCCTGAGTCTTTGAGTGCTGCTGCTCCAGCGTGGTCAGCTGCGTTTTCAACTTGTTCTCTGCCTAAAATTTGTGGACACACAGCAGGTCTTTAGGTTCAAAGAAACATCCAAAACCATAATGCTTTCTCTTCATTTTTATCAGAAGCGTACCTCTCCTAGCTGCCCCAACTGCTCTTTAGATTCTTTCATTGCCTTGGTCATGGCCTCGTTATTCTTCAGAAGCTCCTGTCTGGCCTTCTCATTGGACTTTTCCTGAGGATTAACACAGATTAATGATGTGAATGTCCTGGTGATGTAATTAGGTGGCTATTTGTGACTCTTTGTTGTGAGAGAAATTTTCTCAAGTTGAAAAATGAAAAACATAACCTACCTTCTCTTCCATTGTTGACTTATGGTTCTTCCTCTCGGTATCCAGTTGACTCCGACTCTCTTTCAGTGCCTTATTAGCCTTTCCTAGATTCTCCTGCAAAGAGGCAAGCTCCTTCTTTTGAGCCTCTTTCTCTTGTTGGGCCTTCTGTAAGTCTGCTGTCAGACTCTGAGCCTTTTTGTCCAGCTCTGCATGTTTAGTCTTTCCCTCCTGGGTCACGTTGTCCAGGTTCACCTTCAGAGCAGCTTTGTCCTGCTCACTGCGCTCCAGCTGCTGCTGAATGTCACTCAAATCAGCTGCTTTTTTCTTCAGTTCCTCCTGTAGTGTTGTAGCCCTTAACAGTGGAAAGCCGTTTATATTGTATTAGGATACAGAGAAACAAAAAACAATATAGCATCTGATTGTTCTATGACTAAAATACTGTCACATTTTAAAGATGATGCACCAGTATAGTTTATCTCACCCTGCTTTCTCCATTTCCAGTGAGCGCTGCAGCTCCTTGGCTTTCTGTTTGACCTGTGACCCCTCCTTCTGCAGCTTCTGCACTTCTTTCTGCACCTGGTCACGTGTGGTCTGCAACTCCCCAACCTGTGACTCCAGTTTCTGTTACATTAAAACACCACATACAACAGAAGATGTATGTATAGTGAGGAGACAAGAGACGGGAAAGTTTGAGGCACAAGTGACCTCTCTTTATGTCCAACATCAAGTACTGACAGTAAAGACTCAACACAAACCTTATTGAGCCCCTCCAGCTGCTCTGTACGCTGCTCTGAGGCCATTAGCTTGTCTTTGCATTCCTTTAGACTTGCGTCCAGCTGTGTGCACTGTTCCTGTCTCTCCTTGAGCCTTTGGGCCTGCTCCTCCACCTTCTTCTGAACTTTATTCAGCTCCTTTACAAGATGGTGGGAGGATACAAGAGTGACAAGTGAAGAAGGAGAAGGAAGAAAACAACACATATAAGTCAGAGAGTGACAAATATTTTCAAAGTGGTAGAACAGCATCAGTGGCACAAAGAAGATGCTAACCTGCTGCTTGTCCTGCAGTGCATGCTGAGCAGTCTCAAGGTTGTTTTCCAGGTTCGCCTTCTGTGCAGCCTTGGCTGCCTCTGCAGACAGCAGCATCTCTGTCTTTGCCTTCAGCTGAAGAGAAACAGACCCACAGAAACTCATTCTCATCAGTGTTTCTCCTACCTTTGTATTGGGGACCTATGCCCCACCTGACCATTAATGAATTGTGTTTTATAATGAATAAATACGTAAGATATTAAGAAATAAAAATGACTTTTAGGGTTGAAATAATGTCCTTTTGTCATGTGCAGTTCAAATGAACAACAATATCATGGTTATTAATTTCATTTTACACAGACATGCTTGTGAAGACCATACCTGAGCATCCAGCTGGGCTACTTTCTCCTTGCTGTCTGCGAGCTGGGCAGTGAGTTCAGTGACGGAGGTCTCCAGGGTTTGGGCTCGGTCCTGGGCTGAACGTACCAGGGTCTTCTGCTCCTGGACCTGCTCGTGTAGGTTATCCTGGGCTTGCTTGTTGCTCTCTGATTGGTTCTTCAGCTTGTCTGTCAACTGTGTGACCTGTAACACCCACATATACAGACAAGTTTAATAAGATCAAAAATGACAAATATTTCCCTGTTACTGTTAAATAGAACTGACTTTTCTATATGATGCTAGTTTCAGTGGCAGGTTTTAGTTGTGACAATACATTTATTAGCTATGTGAGGGGTGGCATGTGTCTTCAGTCACAGTACTTTTGTACTAACAAGAAGTGACTATAATATGATATGATATGTGTGTAGGCATTCACCTGTTCTTGTAGTGCATGGTTTTTCTCTTTTAGCTGGTTAAGCAAAGCCGTCTCTCCCTCCCCGGCCTGGATTTTGGCGCACAAGTCCTCTCTTTCGGTTTCCAGCTGGCTCACAATGTCCTTACTCTTCTGCAGCAGAGCCTCCAGATTCTGGATCTTCTGGTCCTTATCTCCAATCTGACGCAGCACCTGCTCCAGGTCATTCTGAAGCATGATGGCAGCACAACAGAAAGATTACACTGGGGTTTTTTTTTGACAAAAATGGGTATTCGCCTGCAGTGCGCCGAGTAGGTGGAGTCTGCACACCATTTGACAGTTATCATAGTTGACGGATACCCTGGATCTGCCACTAAATTTCAGCTGTGAGAGTGGCATATACATCACCATGACCACATGGTCCATACAAACACAAACAAGTCAAGGGAGGTTGATAAGACTGAGAACTGATGAAAATCATATTGTGAACATAACTGTATATAAAGGCAATCGTTTGTCAACTAGGAAAGCTACCATGGCTTTTACCCTGTAGACCAACATTGTTGTTTGTTTTGTCAGCTGATAATTATGTGATTGCCACTGCTGGCAGACAGATTACACTCCATATAAACAGCTTTCCTGGCCCTCGCGGTTACATGTTAAGCGGCGCACCACCACACAGAAATGGAGCAGACCCAGTGCAAGTAAAAGCCAACTCGAGAATGACTCTCATTTGGCGTTTTGCCTCGCTATATTTGCGTTTTTTGGCCATCATGTCTCTTGGATGCCTGCTGCTTTTGGACTGGCACCTGGTCTCTACCTATTTGTAAGGTCCCAGACTCACCTGAGCACTTATGACCCTCTAGTGGGTCGTAAGTGATGATTGGGAGGGAAAACTTCTGTATAAGTCTACACATTATTTTTTAAGGAATTCCTGCAGAGTATATCTTTAATATTAGAGGACACCTTTTTGAGCAAGCCAGCTCAGGCCAAAAGTCAAATGACGAAACTATCATCACAGTAGTATCACCTGACATCCCTGTTGCAACTCTGCTCTTTCGTCACGACTTTGTACAAGACTACATCATGCATTATTCTGAGTAGAAACTCTGGGTCATTTTTAAACTCACTGTACAGCGCAGCCTCTCCCCAGCCCCCAGAACTGATATCAGAGGGTTTGTCTTGTGAACAGTACCTGTGCTTCACGGAGTTTGCCGTTGGTGTTTTGCTGCAGTGCCTGCAGCTCCTGGTGCTGCTGCTTGGCTTTCTCCAGCTGGTGCTGCAAGTCTGTATTCTTACTGGCACTCTCCTTTAACTACAGAAGCAAAACACAGAAGCACAATTATTCTTTTGTATTTTAATCATAACCCTAAATGCATTGTTAACTTCATTTTGTGGATCTGTTTCTGTCTGCTCTTTCACATTACTCCAGTTCTCCTGTAGCGATAATTAGGGTTTCATCTGATGCCTACCTGTTCTTCTGCACGTGACAGTTTGAGCTGCAGGTCGGCTGCTTGCTGCTCACGGTCTTTCAGCTTCTCCCCAGACAGCTGCCTCTGTTCTTTGAGGCGGCCTTGCACCTCGCCGAGCTGCCTCTCAGCCTCCAGCAGTTTGGCGTGCAGCTAGGAAGAGCACAGAGAGAGGGGTGGTGATTAAGATGGAAGACACAAGATGACAACTTAAACAGCAAGAAATATAGCTGATACTTGGATAAGGAAAGTGGATGTCTAGAATCCTCTTTGACTTTGTTTTTTTTCAACACATCTTTATCTTTCTTTATATCCCGTGTTGTAGAATGTGCTTCCACTTTGTCCAAAAGAGATTTGTATGAGCCTCTGCCATTATTTTCTATTGATATATTTTTCCATGGTGACCTCTACACAGTGCCACATAGCATGATTCATGCAGAGGCCATAGTTACATAAACCAGTCCATATTCCATAATAGGTCTCTAACATATCGACTACCTGGTGGCCATAAGTTACAAAATGGAGGAAATCATAACTACATGTTTAAGAATTCCACAATTCAGTTTTGGCCTCAATAAATATTTGATACCATTAGAAAATCAGCTCTTGATACATGAGTCATATGATGCTAATCAGCCTACTACCACCTTAAAAACATATATTAAAGGATTTCTGTCTAAACAAGATACAGAAAACTTGTTCAAGCTGCATTTTCAGCAGCTTTGACTGTTCCAAGAGTCCTCAGTCCTTACTCACTCACTCATCTCACTTCACTGGCTTCCTGTGTGGCAAAGGATAGATTTTAAATCCTTCTGGGTGTTTATAAGCACTAAATAGCCTTGGGCCTTAATATATATCTGATTTAGGAGTATAATATGAAGCATCCAGATCCCTCAGGTCATCTGGGAGAGGGTTACTCAGCGTTTCCAGGATCGAAACCAAGCAAGGCAAAGCATCTTTTAGTTTCTATGCTCCTCACCAGTGGAACAAACTCCCTGAAAACCTGAGGTCTGCTAAAATGCTTAACTCTTTAAATTAGGGATTAAAACATTATTTTTCACTGTGGCTTTCCAATAAAGTAGACACATAACCTTTTATGTGTAAATATTTATTTGCTTGCTTTTGCTTGTTTTTATCTTCTTTAACGATATTATATTTTTCTCATTTATTTATTGTCTTTTAAATGCAAACCCAAATGAATACCTATGGGAGACTTTGGGGTGAGATGTTGCACAATGTGCTCACCGTCATCATCAACACACCAAAGGGGTGAGTGATTATCTTTTGGGAAAATAATTGCTCAACCTGTCAAAAGAGTTCAGGAGAATCTATCACAAGGCGCACTGAAACTGTTCCAGAGGCTCATGGTGACCAAATATTAATACGCTTAATGTTGATTTATTCTTTTGATATAGTACTCTGTCTGATCTGTGTCCACCCTACTCACCTGACTGATCTCCGTCTGCTGCTGAGCACCCTGGCTGTCTTTTTCTTCCCTTTGTTGTTCCAACTGTTTCCTCTCAACCTTCAGCTCTGCGTGCTTCACCTCCAGCTCAGTAATCTCATTCTTCAACTTTGCCACCTCCTCGGTCTTCTCTCCAAGCTCCGTCTGGGCCTTCTGCAGGGAGGCCTCAGCCCCTGTGGCCCGAGCCTGGAGCTCTTGAACCTCTGATTCCCTCTCTCTCAGGCTGCTTTGGGCTCCTTTCCTGGCAGACTTCTCAGCTCCCAGACGCTCCTCCAGTTCCTGATACTCTTTCTCCTTACGTGCAAGCTTTTCAGACAGGCTCTGTGAGAACACGAGAGGACAACATGAGGCAGATTGCCCAGAAGTTTGGGAATTATGGGAGTGAGAGAAAAATAAAAGAGAAAACAAAACAATAGGGGGTAAAATCATTGTTTCCTGACTTTTTTCAAGGGAGCAGGGTCTTCTAAAAAAGAATAAAGATTGACAGGAATAGTCTGAGTCAATTATTACACCACACAGTACCATAAACCATTTGTATACTCTAAATTAAAGAAGCTGGCGTAATAGGCGCTACAACAAGGCACAAACACCCACAACTCATGCCATATAGACAATGGAAAAGAACAGTCAACTGTCAACAGGCAGGAGTACAGTGCGGTATGGCATTTCCAGGGGAAGCTTTACGACACAGGATTTGGAATATGTGATCAGCACTTGCCCCGGTGTAAGCTCTGGCAATAAACTTGGAAACATGGTGATAAAGAACGAAATGTTGTTAATAGTAGAGCAAGCTGCTAAGTAGGGAGTGTGACAGGGCACTTGGACTTCACAGACATCAAATAAATGTTTGCAGGCCACCATAGCAGCTGGCCAACATTAGTAACCCTCTCCAGACACTTTCTGTTTTTTCCTCTCCTCTTTTGTTCATCCCTTCTCGTGGCCTTGTTGCTATCCTCCTCTTGTGGCATTGTCACAGCTCCCTGTTTGGTCTCTCTAATGCTGGAATCGCAGACCAATGAAAACCCCTGTTGGTTGTTCACCTGTCTGTTCTTAGTCCTGATCCTCTGTTGCTCACTTTCTGCTCCATCACTTTTGTCTCTATTCTCATGAGATACAAATCTGGATCAGGTCTCAGGGTATCCTGTTGCGAGCAGAAGCATGGGGTGGGGTCAACACACTGGATATCCAGTTCTGTAATCCCCCTCTTACCCGGAAACCTACTTGGCAGGGAGGGCATTGACATGCCTGGTGTGGGGAGGAAATAATCTCTGGCAGGAACCTTGGGCCTCCATTCCCCAGTTCCCATCGCACCAGTTACCTGTGATTGTATTTCATCCCAAGTGACAAAGCTGGCGTGGCAGAGATCCCCCCCTGCTGGTTTAATTATAGAGCTGCGTGTGATTTTGTATCAACATGTCTGGGTTGCCAAAGAGTGCCGGTGACAGCGGGGCTTTATGATGGAGCCTGATGCCAAGCAACAGAGGAAGGTTTACAGGAACTGAGATGACGTGCTCTGTACTTAAGGGGCAGCTGTCAAGGCCTATTAACATCACTAAAATAAAAGTAAATCCTGGTACTGCTGTTTAATGTGTGGCAGATGTCACAAGCAGACAGGTTTGTGCCTGCAGTAGTCTGCTGAGAGCGACAAAACAGCTATATAACTATAATAATTGTAGTTCTTGGTGTGTGTGTGTGTGTGTGTGGTACCTGGCTTTGCTGCTGCAAATTATTCAGATTGCTCTGCAGCTCATGGATCTGTTGTGTGTAGACAGCCGCTTCCTGTGGACCCTTCTCCAGCTCTGCTTTGAGTTGGGATATGGTCATCTGCAACACAACAGACACACATGTAACACTCTTTATGTAAACCACTGAGTACACATTAACAGATCTGAAGCACCACTGTGAAGGACTGACATAAAAGAAGAAAACAAAGCCAACATGGATTAGTAACAACGAGGACTCTGCGGCACAAAAACCCAACAAAAACATGAAGAGGTAACACGCAATGTTCAAAAATAAATAAATAAATAAATAAATGAATAGAAAAAGCACTTTTGTAAATCTTTTCAAACTTAGAGAAACTCAAAAAGATGAAACCAAGTTTGGGGCCAACTTGAAACATGTTTTACCTCCAGTTTACGAATCTTGAAGAAAGAGTGAGTGTTGTAGAGGGATACAGTATGTGAGAGGCAGAGGAGGAAGGGGAGGGAAAGAGAGACACAGACAAAGGTAAGTCACGATACAACAGACAACAGCCAATGAATGCTATGTTAACTGTTGCCTCATGTTTTAGATGCAATCGCTGGCCAACCTGGAGACTGGCTGCTGACCACAAAAACTCCCACGTTTCATACTGTGCAACTTAAATGAATTACAACTACTGTTTCACACTACTTGCAGACTGAAACAAAGCCATTAGTCAATTATTATCCTCAGAGCAATTATATGATCAAAAACCAGACAGTTTTCAAATATACTGAGAATGTGGTTCCTCGGTTACATAAACATGAAAACTATCTTTTGAGATAATTTGCAGAGATGTGCAGAAAAAGAGGGTTAGGGCCTGGAGCCCCCTGTAAATGCTCCTCTCCTTCTGGGATAAAAAATGCAGGAGGTAAGGTTGAATTATTCACCAGGCATTAATTAGTGAGAATTAGGCACAAAGCCATCTGGTATGACATACCTACTGTACACTGGGACTATTTCATAAGTTATTTCAGAGCGATTATTGATCAAGAGTCAAGAATGAAGGGAGGTGTGGCATTTCTTGGAAACCATTTATGACACAGGACTTGGAATATGTAAACAGAGCTTGCCCTGGTGTAAACTCTGGCAGTAAATTTGGAAACATGGTGCTAACAAAGTGTAGAGTGTGCTGCTAACTAGGGAATGTAACAGGGCATTTGGACTTCACAGACGTTCAATAAACTTTTGCAGGCCACCACAACAGCTGGCTAATACTAAGAACCCTATTATGAATATGAATCTTACATATGCAAAGGTTCTGAGCAAACAGTTGAAATGGAAAGGGTGTCAAATTAGAGCAACTAAAATACTCAACACTATCTAATCTTGTAGATAATTATGCAAACTGTGTGGGAATCAGTGTCCATGTTTTTATTGCATGCAACAAGTCCAGTTTAGGGTGGAAGAGTGGAAGATTGTGTTGCGAGACATTTTCAGGTTCGTACTTGTATTTTGGGTTCCCACTAGAATATGTTTACATGCCTTCGTAGTCACTAACACTTTATTTTCCTTATAGAGTCTGTGCTAGAACAACGTCATTCACTCTCTGTCTGAAACGCTCCATTTTAGCGCCTGTCCCTTTAAGGCCCCGTTCTGAAACAGCTTGGTCTGCTCTGATTGGTCAGTGTTTCTGGGTCTCTTGGATCTCAGCATTTTTGCAATGTCACTGCAGCTGGGGAATGACTATAACTGAGAAAAGCGTTGTGTGGCTATTGCTTAGTAGTGCATGCGTTGCTAGGGTACAGTGTTAACATCCTTCAGTGGCCTTGCTAATGTGTAGTTAATCATTTATCATCTGTGGCAACATTAATGTGGGGAATCAGAGACAAGGAAAAGGAAATTTCACTGCTATCGAGATACAAAGATTAATAGAGCTGTAAAGATGTGTCTGTGTTTGACTGACAGCAGCTGGCAAGTGCTGTCCACAGGTAACAGGAAAGGAGAGAAAAAGTAAACAAACTTGGCTGAAGTGTACAACTCATGGACGAACAGTATGCTGTTAGCATGTTGTTAGCAGTGGTATTAAAGAGTTAAGACGACACCAGCGTCTGAACAGACCAAAGTGACATTTGCAGGTAAGCTCATAAGGTCCTACTTCATGTGCTGCTGCTGACCAGCTAATTAGCTCACTCTCTAGATTGATGACTGACATTAGCAATGCACTTTTCATCAGTGAACGTTTGTTTGGTTGCTCATTCAGCAAGCCAAGGTGAAGAACAAGACGCGTTTTTGTGTTTGTAAGTTAGCTAGATAAAAGGAGGCTTTGGCAGGAAAGCTAACATTAGGTAGTTTGTGACTCATGTTGTGCATCAGGCTGCTGATTTATAGACATGGCAGAGATTTTGACTTTATGCCTGCTCCTGACTAGGTGTAAGATTTACACCAAGTCTTAGCAAGAAGGCTTAAGCCTAGATTTTGCAACCGGTGTAACTGTTAGGTCAGGCTTGGAATGCCAAGTTATGACCAGCTTAGCTTAAGACCAGGCTTTAGCTCTTTTGGTGCAACCAGTCCCACCAGTTTTGGTCCCCTCACCTCTGAGGTAGTGTAATTAGCCTGCAGTTGCTCGTAGTGGGTTTTGAGGCGTTCAGATTCATCCTCCCTCTCTCGAGTCATGTTGTCCATCAGTGTCTGGACCTGCACCAGCTCCTTCTGCAGTACCTCCACATCCTCCACTCCTGGTCGCTGCAGCTAGGGGGCAGAGCAGAGGCACTGTGTAAAAGCTGTGACAACGGAGCAGTAGACAGTGGTGACAACAGGCTTTTTCAAGATCAGTCAAAACTACTGTACATCCTTACGTAACAGCTGAAATGTTAGAGTGTAGATGGATGTCTCCTTAAAGCTCTAGAACTAAACTTACAGTTGTATGAAGCCTCTCTAAACTACTCTGAATCATGGCAGTATAGAAAAATGGATTTCATGATGTCCATTCAAAGTTATTCTTTTAAACGCCAAAGCACAACATTCATGAAAGGTCTACGCAAGGTACAAAGTATGTCTCAAGCCAAGTGAGAGGAGAATGAATCCCAAATGGAAACTTCATGTGTGTTGTACCAGTTCTGTTTGGAGCCTCTCGTTCTCCTGCTTCTCCTTCTGTAGCTGTTCGGTCAGTTTGCTCAGCCTCTGGTCAGCAGCCTCCCTTAGGCTCTTCTCCTCATCATAGCGGGACTTTATGTCTGTCAGATTCAACGATTCAAAAATATTTAATAATATCCAAATCAAAACAACACAAATACCTCACTTGTTCACGAGTTGAGGACAACTCTATCAGTACAAAATGAAGAACCAATGCCTTTTGTCCATAAAACCAAATGATGAAGAAGTACTTTAGCGTTAAATGATGCAGATCCACAGACACAGCCCTCCCAGTTTCCTAGCACCACACTAACCTACTATCTCTGTGGCCAGCTGGGCAGCTTTCTGCTCAAACAGGTCTTTCATCTGCTTGATGTTGAACTTTTCTGTCTCTGCCTCGTTCAACTTCCTTTCAAGGGCTGAGGAAAGAGCACCACGTGTTAGTGATGGATGTTCGGTGGCTTCTTCTTCTTCTTCACTTATCTTAATATAAAGTCCCCTACCTGAATCCTCTGAGGTCACCTGTCCGTCATTCTGTGGAATGGAGGGAAAGAGAGAAACATGCACAGTAAGAGTAAGCATTGCCATTATGTTTTATAAAGCAGTGTTATGATCAGAAAGCCATCACAATATATGATAAATATCCTGAAGGAATTACTTGCTTCAGTTGTCCTTGGACTTTGTCTAACTCCTTCTTGAGCTCTTCAGAGAACCACTTTTCCTCCTAATCAGGTGAAACACACACACAGACACCAAATTAATTATTTGAATGAACCGACCATTTACACACCGCTGTTCGGTGCAGACACTATACCTTGAGTGAAGCGTGCAGGTCCTGAACCTCTTGCCGCAGCATTGTAAGGTCTTCCCTAAAAAGAAGAAAGAGCACATTCACAAAACACACAGAAACTGAATAAATATCACACTTAATGTAACGTTAATATTTCTATAACTCACCGAGTGGGGGCCATATGAGCGGGCAGGTCTCCGGTGTCATGGAACAGCTCATAGTGTTTGAACAGCTCCTCTGCAGAGTTGTGAGACTTCATGCACTGAGGGCAGATGAAGCCCTGAACACAGAAACACACCAGAAGAATTAACTACGTGATGATGCTTTCTTCAATTCTGCAGCTCTGCTTCCAGGGTAGATAAAAAGCTAGAAAATGTTGTTGATTAAGAAAAACAAAGCGTCCACGTTACCTCAGACGTCTGATCATGGTTAAGGTCTGTGCTGGGCTGCTCTGACTCTGCATTCTGGGAGCCTCCCTTCCCAGGAGTCTGAAGAGGAGAAAATATCAATCAATCAATCAATCAATCAAT